TGCTTAGTCGTCATTTTCAACTTCTTTAGCATATTCGTCAGGAGTTGTCTTATATTTGTTAGGAACTGTCTTTGAAAGTATACCACCTTGAACTTTGACAAGTTTGAAACGAGGTCTGACAATAGTAGTTTTATCTTCTGCTTGCAGTGTGTACATTTTGCCATGTTTGCCTAAAACTTCATAATATTCTCTTGTATACTTTCTTCTATTTTTACGAACACGAATGTGAGTACCTGTCGAGTTCCCATTGTTTTCATAGTCAATAGTATTTTCATATGGGTCGCGTTTAGGTATTTCTATTTTTACTTTGTCACCTTTCTGAAGTTTGAAGCCCGGCATTCTTTCTTGTTTGTCTCTTTTGACTAAATTATTAAATATATGGTCTTTCTCTAAGTCAGGGTTGTTTTTCATTTCTTCAGGGGAGTGGTTTCCCAAACCTTTTTGTTTACGGTTATTGTAAATATTTAAAACTTGTCTCATCTTTGCCTGGGAGAAGTGTCTATATTTGTCGTCATATGACATTTCATTTGCTTCACCACCTTGTGGTTGGTTTAAGTCTCTTAACATTTTTATACATCCGTCAATGACACCAAGAACAGAATGGTTTTGGTCGACAATGAAATATTGGTTTACATTTTTTGAACGCAGATAGTTTTTTACATCATCTGATTTGAAAGAACTTTCACAGTCAGATGTCAGTTTTGTTGGATGGTATTTGTCAACGAATATTGTCAAAGCTGCTAAGATATCTAAAATAGCTTTGGACTGTAATGGTATGGCTTCACAGTATCTTGTGTTTTGACCAACAAATATTAACCAGTATGGTGGTCCATCTTCTCTATACCTCGGAATGTTTTCCAAGATATCCATAAACCAAGCATTTGGTGTTGAACTAAAGATTTTTATCATGAGTGCTTTCTTTGTCGCTTTAGAAACATAGGGTCCTTGTTCGGATTCGTCATTTTTTACCCTATAAGAAATGGGTTTATTTGGCGCATTAGCAGGAGTCGCATCTAGATTTTTACCCGCAGTGGAACAATAGCCAGAGGTGCATTTGGAATTGGAAGGAAGATTTTGAGTACATTAGGTATACTTAAAGAGAAAGCACAACCTATTATACAAACTGTACAGAAAGGTTGGGATGTAGCACGAGATGCAACAAATCTTATTCCAAATCCTGAAACAAGAGGAAAAGTTCAAGGATGGATAGACAATGTAGGAAGACAAGCAGGAAACTATTATAACAAAGCAAATGACTACTATAACCAAGCAGGACACTATATGGACCAAGGTGAAAGATTCTTTAACAGAGGATATAACCATGCACAACAATGGGTAAACAATAACCAACCTCAACCGCCTCAAACGTGGGGAATGTAAAGTTTTTTATTGAGATGAAATGAACAATGCAGCATTGAGACAAATGAGTTCAAGATGGATTTGTCGGCTTCCAGCATTTAAACCGATACCATATAGTCAGGCTCAGCATGTGAAACTGAATGATATTATTAAAGGAACCATCCCACCTCCACAACAACAACCAGTTGAAAACAAACCAAACTAAAATTTTTTACTGAGATGAAATGACCGAAGAAGTTGAAACGGTAGATTTGACACCAAAACAAAAAGTTCAGAACCATTGTCAAAACCTGTCAAAGAACTTACAGATGAAGAGAAAAATTCAATAATAGAAAGTGCCAGGTCTGGAAATACAAACCCTAACTATAAAGTCACTTTTCATAGAAATGGAACGGCTAGTATCTCAAAAAAGAAACAGACTCTCACAAATAAAATATTGAAGTCTGAAGGAGCTTTCGAGACAACAGATGGAAAAGTTTACTTCACTGACCAACAGTTCATTATAGAACATCTCATTGACTTAGAGTCGAAATATTCTAAACTTTACAACAAACACAAAAAGTTGAAAGGAAAACAAAAACAAATGGCATATGATATTTATGAAGATGTTGACGACACAACTGTTCCTGCAAGTGAAGTAAAGTCAGAGGAACCGAAAAGTGACAAAAACCGATAGAAGAAGAAAAACCAAAAACTGAAGATAAACCAAAACCAAAGTTTAGTTTCCAAACTAAACCAAGTCAACCTTCATTAGCTGGTATGGGTTGGCGTCAAAGACTTATGGCAGCAGGCGTTATGTAAAGTAAAAAAAAAAATTTTTTTATTTTTATAAAAATGCCCCCATATAGAATGGATAGAAAGTCTGCTAGAATAAAAGCAGAGTTACAAAGATATGGTTGGAGAGTTTCGAAGAAGTTTAAATATAGGAAGGGAAGACCCATAAAAGTCTATGACAAATTGTCTGGTCTTCGCTACGAAATGGATTTGGAAACAGCACGTGCCAATTATCCAAACAGACTAGAGAGGTTAGAAGAAGAACGTCTTATGGACATGCCTTTCGATGTTAGTGAACCTCAAGTTGAAGGACACGACGGCTTTGCCAGATTCTACTGGAAACATGACGAACAATTGCATCCTTTGAGAAGGAAAAAAAGGAAAAGGTGAAGACGCACATGCTCCCATGGAAAGAACAAGATATGCATATGAAAAGTATCGTGAAGTTAGAAGTCAAATTACATCTGGTCGAACCTTTACAGTAAACTTTAACGAAGGAAAGAACAAAAAAGGCTTCATGGGAGTACTTGCTGCAATTCAAGACGGAAATAAGAAAGGACACAATCTCAGATTGACCATAACAGATTTGGATGGTCACATTTACTATGCACATGGCAATGAACAAACAGCCGCAAAACTTCTTGACGCTTTCAAGACTACAAAGAGAGAACAAATGGTTGACTCCGACTCAGACATTTTGAATGCAATTGAAGGAATTGCAAGTGTCAAGTTCGAATGGTACCAACCTAACCCTCAAGCAGTCAGACAACATGCTGGATACTTCCCGTTCATAAATAAGTCTGACATTGACTTGACAAGGTATGGAATTTACAATTCAATTGAAACAATTGTCAATGAACCTTGTATTCTTACATGTCTAAGGAACTCTGGTCTTGTTACAGATGAGAAGATGAAGTATCTTGAGTCATGTGTGAAGACAAGGTACATTCTCAGAGGTCAATTGGCAAAAATTGCACCGTTGGCAAATGTCAATATCCGAGTCAACATACCTACAGCTAAAGGTTCTTCACATGACGACTATGTTGTTGACAAAGACTTACCATGGTTGAAGATTGTAATTGTCCACAACCACTTCATGTTGAACGAAAGTCTTACAAACCCATTCTTTGGTAAAAGTAAGTGCAACATTGTCAGAGCTGTAAACATTCTTTTCGAGAAAGGTTTGTTGGAACCAATTCCAGATGACAAGCTGACAGAAACTTTTGTACCAAAAGACGAAACAAACTTTTCATTGTTAGCAAGACCAAAAGTTGTTCCAGACAAAGTTCTAGTACAAAAGAAGTACACAGTTCCACAAGGGGTTGGTATGTTCGGATACCAACCTGAACCAGAAGAACTTCCAATGAGGTTGCAAGAACTTCAAGATGCTATAAACAAACTTCCATTGAGACATCCAATTGACGTCAAATTGTATTGGAGAGCATCTGAGTTAGGTCAGAAGGTTTTATATGAAACAGGTTGCTTCGACGATGTTTATGAGATAACAGGAGAAGTTTCTCAGAAGATAAGAGACTCACTTGAATTTCCACAAACTGGACCAATTGGTTGCGACAAGTTCGACTCAGATGAAAAGATATACTATGTCGACCTTAACGCTGCATACATGAGGTTTGTCCAATATATTCCGACTGGAATTCCAAACGAAGATGGTGAGTTCCCGGGAAGGAACTATACAGTTGGAAAAGTCATACAACAACTGTATGATATTAGGAAAGCTTCAAACCCCAAACTTGCAATGACACTCAAATTGCTTATGAATTCGACATGGGGATATTCCATTAAGAAACCTCAAGAGATGAAGAGTAAACATTATGAGAAGGTCGACAACTTTGTTGAAAGGTTTTCTCCTTTTGTTTTGAAGTACGAATTCACTCAAGGTCAAAGTGGCTTAGTAACCACATTAAAACCTATTGTCGAACATTGGTCTTACCCTCAGTTCGCAAAGGCAGTCCTTGACAACTACAACAAATTCTTCTCCGAAGTCAAATCCAAAGTGAAGGTTTACTATGAGAGCATTGACGCACTCATGACGAACGAAGAAGGATACAACAAACTCATTGAAATGGGAATGGTCGGTGAAAAGATGGGCTGTTTTAAGCTAGATAAGGTATTTTCCGAAGTTCATGTAATATCGAAAAGGAAATATTGGGGCATACTTGAAGACGGCACAGAAATAAAACATTGCATGAAATAAAAAATTTATTTTTAAAAAGTGACATTTTTTTATTTTATTTGAAATGTACGCTGAGTTTGTTGGAGAAGACCGTTGGGAAACTTGTTTGTTAGATGAGAAATATAAAATTCACTGTTGTGAGTCATTTGAAGTCAGAAACAAAAAGACAAAAAGAGTTTTAAGCGAATGGGAGCGAAATGACGGATATGCTATTATGAAGATGGTGGAAAACACTATCTTAAACATGTTGTCATTGCAACTCATTTTATACTGAATCCTAACAATTTACCTTTTGTAGACCATATAAACCATATAAGAAACGACAATAGACTTGAAAACTTACGTTGGGTCACTCGTTCTGAAAACAATAAGAACAAAGGCAAATTTGGAGATATTGTATTCGAATTTGTCGACGAACTAGAAGATGAAACAATTGAAATTACAGACTATGGCAAGCATACGTTTGAGTTTTACTACTATAGCGAAGAACAAGACTCTTTCTACTTTTATACCGGCGTAAACTATAGGAAATTACAAGTATATTTTACTAAGGCGGGCTATGCTTATGTAAACACTAGAGATACAGATGGAAAATACGTTCAAATACTTCTTAACAAATTCAAGAAGCTATATGGCATACCATTTTAAAACAATATATTTTTACATATATTAAATGCTTCAGGTTGAAAAACAAAGAACAAAAGTAGCAGATACAAAACCGTTAGACTATATCTTTACAAATGCTGGTAGGACTATTTCAGATGAAGAAATTTCATCCCGAGCATACAGGTTTGACTATCCAATTCGTTGGCTTCAAAGTCCTTCAGATGCAAAGGCAATAGGATTTAGAAGAGTTTTGTTTTCAAATAGAACTAACGCATTTATGTTCGCAGTATATTTTCATGGGCAGTATGAAGGTCCTGATGGTCTAATAGACAAATTTGACGAAATGAGAATCTTTACAGTTCGTTCAGACGAAAGTCTTGAGAAAACTCTAGATGACTTTCAAACTCAAATGAACAAATATTATTGGGAATTTCAAGAAAAATACGACTCTTTACTAAATGGAACATACTAACTGAAACTAGAATATGACAAGATGAACTCCACCGTTTCATTTCAAAAGATTGAAATTAACCCTCCAAGAGATACAGAGTTTTTATTTTGGGAAGTAGACAAACGTTCTTGGGCACAATTTCTTCGGTTACTAAACCAGAACGAACCATTACCACCAGATGGTCCATTTAAATTTATACTTCCACCAGCAGATTTGATGGTTTATAGAAACGTGTTTGACCCTCAAAATGTTATGTGTCATGCAAGTTTCAGTTCAAGCAACAATAGTTTTCTATGTATTGGTAAGGACCTTTATGACTTTGCTTCTAAATTCTACGAACCACCTAGTAACAGTTTCTCTGACTTTCAAGTTTGGTTCACAACAAATGGTGTGCAACATATTATTCCATTGTACTATTACTTTTATCTCGAATTGTCTTTCATATATAACTACGGAAAAGTGCTGAAAAAGTATTGAATGTGAAGATATTAGAAAATAACATTTTTTCTAACATCGTAGAAAACTCATGAAAACAATTTATTTTTGACACTTTCACAAAAAACATAAAAAAAGTGAGTTAAAATGAGATGTTTACTGAACTGGCTGAATGTCGCCTTCTGTAGTTATAAAGAATGGTTGACCAGAAAAGTGGAACAGTGCTCTGAGAATTTGGTTCATTCTTGGGAAAGGGTTCTCTCTGTTTGGAAGTTGTATCCATGGGCGCTTGGCAAAGAACTTTATAATGACTTCTTTCTTCATCTCCTTTATGTCGTCTACAGGAGTGTTTTCTGGTATTTGAATTGGAATTCCGGTTTCAATTTCGATTTTCAGCGCACCTCTTCCAGACAACCAACCGTTAACAAGCTTGCCTTTTACATTCTGCCTGAGGAAGTCTTTAACAAGCTCGTTAAGTTCAATGAGGTAAATTGCCTCGTCAAGTCTTTCTTGCATTCCAAGTTCTTCCATCCGACAGGAAAATATTTTCCCGACAAAGGGAAAATTTTTCCCGACGACAGGAAGAACTCTTTCAGTTGTCCGTCCGTAAACCATTCAAATTTTCGAAAATTGAGAACTTTTTGGTCGAACTTCAGAAAATGTTTTTCCTTCCGACAGAAAAAGTTTTTCCTTCCGACAGAAAAAGTTCCTCCATCCGACAGGAAAAATTTTTCCTTACGACAGGACACAAACGGATGACTGACGTTCCTCTTCCTGAATGCCTTCCAAAGCCAGAAGAACCGAAAGCTGCAGAACCACAACAGTCTCCTCAGCAACCTCAGTTCCAGCAAGTACCTCCGAATTACTACCAATTTCCACCTCAAGGTTACTACCCACCACAAGGCTTCCCGAACTACCCTCCTCAGCCTATGCCTTACTTCCCCAACCCTTGGTTGTTCCAGCAAGCTCCACCCCAGCAATTCCAATTCCAATCTCAATCGAAGAGAGACCAAGACTTCGAAGAAGGTCTGAACCGCTTACGCAAAGAGTATGCTACAGCTCCAATTGAGAGAAAGTTGTTCCCGGACCAAAAAATAATGTTTAGGGTAGATGGTTAGATCTAACCTCATTTCTACCCTCATTTCTACCCTCATGAATTTTCATGAATTTCCTTAAGACAGAAAAAATAAAGTTAGTTTTATTTTGAGATATAAAAATTGCTCACATTTGCTCACATTTTGGCACTTTTTTTGTACGTTTGTCAAAAAATTGTGAGGAAGATCTCACAAAAATAGTCAAAATGTGAGCAAATTTTGAGAAGTGCTCACATTTTGACATACGATTATTTTCATACGTTTTTTTGATGAATTCTAATAAAACTTCATTACCACTTTCAGAACGAAGCGTAACTTTTCAGCACGTAACGCTCTATCATGTGTAGTGACATATTATTCAAAAAAACTCAGATTGCTTATCTTATAATAACAATTTCATTAGAAAAAATGCACGATTTCACGCTAAAACTTTGAAGCAATTCTTAAATTCGGATAAAAAATCGATATGTATTACACTTTAAACTTCAAAAAATGGTTCAAAATTTAGACTTAGTTATCTTAACAATATAGCAGATTTTAAGCCGAACAAGTAGGAGTAATAGAAATATCTCTTGAAAAATAATACAATTAGTAATATGTAAGTCAAAGTTCGAGTATTCTAATAAATAAACGTTCCGGATTTCTTTACTACAAGAATCAATACTTAATATATAGAAGCAACAGTAAAAACTTATTTAGAGATTCAAAAAGAAAGTTGACTAAAGAGAATCTTTTATATAAGTAATTTTATTTTTTGAAATACGAGATCGAATAAACATGTATTTTATTTTATTACTATAATAATACGTTTTTACATAGTAAGAAAGTTTAGAGACTGAAATGAAATTAAAAATTGAGAAAAAAATAAAGCTTTTCTATAAAAATTCATATTAATATATAGTATAATGATATTACAATTTATTGATCAAATAAAAAGAATATTTGTTGAATAATTTCTGTTCAAATTAAAAGTTCTTCAACTTACGGTAAATCTATCTGCCTTAAAAAGTATTACGATATTATGCAAAGTCAATTTTCTCCAAAAAAATATTTGAAGATGATACTTTAAGTATACCAAAAATACAAGAATTTTGAGAGAACTCAATGAATTTTTGTGAAGGTGGAGTTAAATTGAGAAGATTTTTGGTCAGAGAAAAACAAAAATTACTATCTGATAAAATGGTATTAAAATGAAAAAAGTTTAAACAAAGGAAATGAAGAATTTATATTATATTAGAATTTAAAGAGTAAATATAAAAGATTGAAAGAAAGAATAATAATAGGATTCTTGAATGCAACATTTGGAATGATGTTTCCAGTTGTAGATGTGTTAAGCAAAGAGAGATAATGATAGTTTCTTGAGTTTTGAGTTAAGCTTGTTGTAGATGAGAGAGAAATTTTGACGAGACTGAGGAACTTCATTTGGAATGATGTTTCCAGTTGTAGATGTGTTAAGCAAAGAGAGATAATGATAGTTTCTTGAGTTTTTGCAATTAACCATCCTCAATGACTATTGTTTTAATATAATTTTTAAATTTTTTAAAACTGACATTTTAGTTGTATATTTTTTCTAACAAAGGTACATTCACTAGGCGATAACAGTAAAATGGGATGAAAATATGATAAATAGCATCCCTATATAGTGCCAAACAATATTTATACGGGCCAAAAAAATTGGCTAGAGATTTGGCGAGTTATAAAACTTAGAAAATTGAGAGGGATTTTTATTTTTGAATTTTTTTTGGAAAGTTAAAATTGCGATTAAAAATCGATTTCCAGGAGAACTAAGCATCTCATCATATATTTAAATCGATAAAAATATTAAATAATAGTTGAATAGTATAACAACGTGAAATTATGGCTGAATCTACAGAAAAAATGAACATATTTGACATTTTTGAAAATTCATACGTTAGATGGTGACAGACTCATAAACTATACTTTAGCTAAGATTGATATATGGTTTCAACAACACATGGTTAAAATTGTAAAAATATTTTAGATTTCAAAAAGATATATATGGTAATATAATGGAACAAAGTCAACAAATAGCATGTTAAATATGTTATAATTAACTTTTTATTAGATCCAATAGTAGATATCGAATGGTTTCCAGCTTTATGGTTAAATATTTTCTTTTCGAGCTTCTCTTTAACTGTTGTATTAAGGTTGTAAATTTTTGATGCTAGAAACTATGGAATCTTCTTTGCTGCTGCATTTTTCTTGAGAGTTCTTGCAATTTCGAATAGATCTGCGCATTGTATGAAATTGAGGCTTTAAAATATCTTGAAAACAGAATAGGACTGCTTTTCCAAAGGAATGCTTACTTGTAAATCAGAGAGTTTCAAAATTGAGAGCAAGATTATCATCATAACTTTCGATTTTGCTGCGAAAAAGGAAGACAAGTAATTAACAAATCATTTACTGTTGTTCATCAAAAAAGAAAACTTTGATAACAACTAATGATGATAAAATCAAGCTATCTTTTAATATTTTAAATTGATAAGACATTCAAAATATTTGAATGGTTTAAAATATTTTCTTTTAATTTCTATAAGATATTATCATGATTATATAATAAAATTTAAATTTTTATTCAAAAAGGCAATATTTCAAACTTTTAATTTCAAAAATCTTAATTCTGCAATAAGTGTATTTAATTGTAGCAAATTTAATGATCCTTCGTCATGCTTAGCAATTTGGAACTCATAAATTAATGATTTCTTCAAGTAAAATTCTGCATTATTTCAAAAGTCAATAATTCTCTAGTAACTTTTCTTCAAACCCTAACCATTATATTATATGTATAATGGAGAATAATTGCAAAGAAAGATAGCCGAATTTACTGGGTAGTTCTTGTGATGCGAAATAATTGCAAATTAACACATAGTTTTAACAGCATCAATCTCTTTTTGCTCTCATTTAAATGCATTCGCACACTTTAATTTTGAAATATAAGAGTTTTGGAAATTATCAAATTTATCTGCTCAAATACTATAGATCTTCATAAGTGTTAATAGAATCACCAGCCTTACATATAGTGTTTAATATAATGATGCACATCATACTGGGATTTATTCCTTATTCATCTAGTTATTATAAGATTTACAACCCCATAAAAATTTAAAATTTTGTCAAAAATAGTGAATGTACCTTTTTTCTAACACAACTATCAATAAATTGTAATATCATTATACTATATATTAATATGAATTTTTATAGAAAAGCTTTATTTTTTTCTCAATTTTTAATTTCATTTCAGTCTCTAAACTTTCTTACTATGTAAAAACGTATTATTATAGTAATAAAATAAAATACATGTTTATTCGATCTCGTATTTCAAAAAAATAAAATTACTTATATAAAAAGATTCTCTTTAGTCAACTTTCTTTTTGAATCTCTAATAAGTTTTTACTGTTGCTTCTATATATTAAGTATTGATTCTTGTAGTAAAGAAAATCCGGAACGTTTATTTATTAGAATACTCGAACTTTGACTTACATATTACTAATTGTAATTATTTTCAAGAGATATTTCTATTACTCCTACTTGTTCGGCTTAAAATCTGCTATATTGTTAAGATAAACTAAGTCTAAATTTTGAACCATTTTTTGAAGTTTAAAGTGTAATACATATCGATTTTTTATCCGAATTTAAGAATTGCTTCAAAGTTTTAGCGTGAAATCGTGCATTTTTTCTAATGAAATTGTTATTATAAGATAAGCAATCTGAGTTTTTTTGAATAATATGTCACTACACATGATAGAGCGTTACGTGCTGAAAAGTTACGCTTCGTTCTGAAAGTGGTAATGAAGTTTTATTAGAATTCATCAAAAAAACGTATGAAAATAATCGTATGTCAAAATGTGAGCACTTCTCAAAATTTGCTCACATTTTGACTATTTTTGTGAGATCTTCCTCACAATTTTTTGACAAACGTACAAAAAAGTGCCAAAATGTGAGCAAATGTGAGCAATTTTTATATCTCTTTTATTTTTATTTATTTTTTTTATTTTGTATGTAAGAACAGTAATGTCAGTCGAAGCAAAAACGTTCACGAACAAATCTAATGGCGAAACATTCACAAAAGGCACTTATAACGGTATTGAAGTCTTACGTAGAGACAAGGATGGTTACATTAATGCAACAAATATGTGTCAGCAGTTTAGGAAAGACTTTAGAAAGTTGTTGGAAAATAAGTCCTGGGAAGAGTATTATAAGGCATTTTGTGAAGAATATAGCAACCGCCGGAATTCGGACTGTTGCTTTTTATACAAAATTCATGCAGGAAATTCTTGAGTTTTGGATGAAAGAATACGGTCAAGCCAAAAGTGGCTCAACCTCAAAACAAGCATTTTATGAGCTTACTAAGGGCGTTATAAATGAATTCAAAGGTATTTACATACATCCTGACCTCATTCATTTTGTTGCTGAATT